GCTTGATGTTGCGGGTTCGGGATCAAAAAGACCAACATGTAAGGCTCTCAAGTCGAGGCCTGAAAGGTTCCGACTTTAGGGCTCAGGGCTGCGGCTTCAGAGGGTTTTGGGAGGTACACCTCCATGGCTTTTGATATGACGGACCGCTTAAGGTCGAGTCTTTCCGGCCGCCAGGGTTCACTTGGGGGTAGGGAATGAAAAGGCGGTTGGGATGAGCGGAAGCTTTGGAGCACCTTCGCTGAGACTCCGTAGACTCTAAGCCTTCTAGGCCCCCCCGGAAAGCATGAACTTGCAGATAGGCTTCCAGGCTTGCTTATGGATTCACGGGCTTCTCGGAGTGTACGGGTATGATAGCTGGTATGATTCTATGATTTTTTAGTGTTTGACCGCCACCTCCGAAACACTACGGACGAAACCTAAGACCCGAGACCCAAACCACTGCACACTGTGGAAATCCTAGCCAACGCCGAGGGAAGATTCACTTACAAACTCTTCGGGGTTTGGGAGTTTAGGTCGTTCAGGTTTAGGTTGCAATGCACATTGATTGATGGAGTGGATGGAGTTCCTCTGACCAACACACCGAAATCCCAAAACACCAAGCTACCCAACAAATCCCAAAACACCAAACTACCCCAAAAACTATACCCTCAGCCCCGAGAACAACAAGACTGACACCCCAGCAAGCCCTGATGAAGCCTAAGCCCGAATAGATCCGGTTGAACCCCGAAACAAGATCTCAAAAATCCGAAAAATATTGTAACAACAAAGCCTCAAAGCACTGAAAACCTTGCCCCCTGGGTCGCTAGCTCAGCGGCCGTGAGGACTCCCAGAGCCAAGATGCATAGGAGCGCCTTGGGCCAAGGGCTCCTTTAGAGGCTCCTGTAGGGGGTTCTAGAAAGGGGACTCCTTCCTTCAAGGGGTCTAAAAAGGTTCCGCATAGAAGGGTTCTATGAGGGTAGGGATTCTGCAACGGTTCTGCAGAGGGCCTGTAGGACTTCGCGTGCGGCTTTTAGGGCCTCGGGAATTGGGAGTGTGAGATTTTGGGATTCCGGCGTTGGGATTTCGGCGTTGGGCTTTAGACCTTTGTAGTATATGGGGCCTTGTGGGTTCAGGTGTTCAAGCTTAGGCATTTGGGCTTTGGGGGGACTCAGTTTAGTGTTTGGGGGGGGCTTGGTGGTGTTGAAGCTTTCCCAATCAAAGCTCAGTCGACTTAGTCTCCGGTCTGAGCCTCAGGGTTTAAGCTTTTGGGGGCAACTTTAGATTCGGGGTATTCGGGGTTTCGCAGTTCGGAGCTTGGGGCCGTGCACTGACTTCGACAGCTAGTAGATCATATGAGTCATAGAGGGAGGCCGCGGGAAAAAAAGAGGCGTTCCTTTGATGGTGCTGTCATGGCAAGCGTTGTATACTCACGGGTATGGCGTAAATTTAATTGCATGAAAACTCAAACTGCGAGCCGTACACCAACAACAACGCCCAACAGCCAAACCCCTTAAAACTTCAGACCCCTTGCTGGCACTAAACCCCGGTTTACAAGCAGCATGCACTCTCCGGACGTTCCCTGCCATGATACAGCCTCAGCCGCTTCGACGAGTTTGGGTTTCAAGTTGTTTCCCATTCCTTCCTAGACCTCAGTATGTAGCCCCTTCCTCTTAACGTGGCAACGGAAGTTATGACGAAAGACCACCATGAGATACTTTGGGGTTCAGGGTTGAAGATCTTGAAGTGCTTTAGGGCCTTTGGGGCTTCCTTCTCAGGTCCGAGGGGTCTCAGGACGCAGCCATCGGGATTTTGGAGAGCAGCTTGCGATCCGCGCTAAGAGCTGTTGCGAAGAGGAAACGGCTGCACCGTCAGGTCATGTGTAATGATCCTTTCAAACAACCGCTTCTTGCTCTTGCATTGCCATCGCACCTTACTACGACTCGTACCTGTCTCCATTCGCTGTGTTTCCTTTCCTGCGTTACATTGACCTACAAGAACTAGTACTGTGCTTGCTCAGTTTGTTTTAACATTGCATTTCCTAGGCGCTGTCTTCATGCTTGGTTACATCTCTAGCCACAAAGCGGCTCGAACCTCGCGTCGTCTGAAATCAGAAAAGCACCCACCCGCCCGACCCATGTTGTGTCTTCGGTGCTTCAGCCTGTGGGCGTTGCCTCAGCGCTGTTCTATTGGGCTTTCCCATTCACTGGCTGAACTGTAGTAGCTTATGCTCAACAGTCCAATGTTGCATATACCTCCACTCATCTGCAGTGGTGGTTCTCTGTACAGTGGCGTTGGTTGCTGTCACACACACGGCATCCTTCGGCCCCAGCTTCTGGTGAAGCTGAACTGACGTCGAAGCGGATGCTTGTGTGTTCTACCGCCAAAACGAGAGTCGGCTCGCTGACTTGGTTTAAGGGACATGCTGTTTCGTGTATTTTCCAGATGTGCGATGAACATGATGTCGAGCGATTTGTGGTTAGAGATAATGCAATGTTCAGAACGGTTTTAACATGTTTCGTAAAATTGGTGGTGACTCGCAGTGCTTTATTCAGGGGTCGTATTCAAGGCCCGGAACTCAATCTTTTTTGGACCCGAAATGAAGCAACATCCTTACTACAAGCAGCCCTCAAAGAGAAAAACACACCCTCAACCCTCAACCCCTGAACCCTGCAGGCCCCCATATACAGACCTTTTCGAGATCCCTCATAGGAGCTCCAAAGGAGGCTCAGTTTTTTCGCAGGCTCGCAGGCCCTCCAGCGATGGAAGCCTTGGGCCCGTTGAGCGGCCGCCAGCCGGGAACGGAGCGTATGCCGAGCTCCATCGCCTCGAACCTGACATGGGGGAAACCGCCAGACAAAGCAAACTTGATCCCGGGAGTCGGGGTGGACCTGTACTTGACCGGAGTTCAACTGCGCAGCAAGAAAACCACCAGACTCGACGCAGACGGATTACGGCAATCATGCAGTATCACCTGAATAATTCGGCCACTATGAGAAGCAACAATCTTAAGGGTACAATTCGGGCGGCCGTTTTGCAGGTACACAAGGGTGATCAGCCCTTGCTTCCCATGCCACTGGTAGCTTCGCTGGACACAGTCCCAGTAACATGCTCTGTCCCCCTGCAAAAAAGGATGGAAAAGTAGCTCTGCCAGTCGGCATGTACAGGCGTGTACACACACACACATGCCCTGCGTAGCAGGGCTGCCGCAATCAGCACAAGATAAGAGTCGCAACAAAATGCGTGTGTTTGGAATGGTATAGGGC